GACGACAGAAAACAAATAAGTATTTAGAACAAAAGTTCTTTCTGCTGATGTCAAGACGGAAGAAATGAAAGGTTTGATTGAAATTCTGTTAGTGGCTACTGAGCAGTCAAGTCAGCAGAAGAAATATGCTTAGAGAAAACAACAAAAAAAAATTCTGTGTCTCAGCTACATCTCATTTACCAGGGGGGGGGGGGTAAATATATCAGATCAGAACATCTCTTCACTGCGAACCAGCATTCGAGGGAAAAATGTTACATGCCTCTGATTCTGCATTGCATTGATATATCTGTGCAAAATGCATGGTTGCTTTGCAGACATAATAGCTATCAGTGTCGAATTGCAAGTGCACATATTGATGGCAATAATCATAACGAAACCTAGGTCTGAGTCGACCATCTTCAATAACTTTTAAGTCGTGATATAAAGAGCACAACGATACTAAGCAAGAAAAGAGAACCAGATGTGGACAACGTCACAATCAATGTTCAACAAGGTGTGACAAGTGCAATATTGGTGGAGACATGGAATATTTTATTATTTACCATTCAAAATAAGTAAACATTTGTGTCGTAATATCAAGGTTTTTTGTATGCGTATAGTCCTACTGTACCATATATGGTACAGCCCCCCTGTGCCCCCCTTTTGTTATATATTTTTTTCTTTATTTTTATATTAGTTTTTAGGTTTTTTTAGCAAGCTTTTGTATAAAAAGCAAAATTTTTGTACTAAAATAATTATCGGTCTATATGGGTTAATAGCTATAATGTTAGTGACCATGAAAGTTTAAAACAATAATTCAAATAAGGCTATTTTTTATATAAACTCCATTAATTTTGAATTGTCCCTTCATCAATATTTAAAAAGAAAAATTTGGTTGTATTTTTTGTTTTTAAGCATTTTAACTGCTGCATGTTTAAATCTAAAGATAATTGAACAAGAAAAATTTTAATGTTGTATTCATTTGACACTGTGGGTTAGCTACAATGCGAAGAGATGGCGCTGCCTAAGAAATACTAGAGAAAATTCGACAAGGACGTCAGGGCCAGGGTAGCATAATGGTCAGTGCATCCATCTGGACAGCGAAGGGCGATGGGTGCGGTTTCAAGTCCCGTCTGCTGCCTGGTCTTTCTAGTTAAATTTTCTAGGGTTTTTTTCTGGTTAAATTTTCTTTAGATTTAATAACTTTCTTTTGAAATGTGCGAAAATCCTGTGGGAAAGTCAAATACCTGAAACGGGACAGAGCGGTTGTTACGTAGAAATAAATACATAACAATAAACAAGCGCCATGTTCACAGTTTTGATATGTCAAAGTCAACGTCATCTAACTTCCTAACCTAACCTAACTGTGGACTTGTTTGTTTTATTGCTAGGTTGCTATGTACTGTGATGTCACACCAAGAGTTCCGAAATGGCGAGTATTTAAAATACCCGAAGCAAGTTTCTCTTTTATCTTAAATGATACATTCATTCGAGATATGTATGTGTATCTAAAAAAGATACACATACATATCTCGACTTTGAATATTTTTATACTTTATTAAGGGAATGTTAACTGTGAAATATAAATATATAAAAAACAAATATATATATATATATATTGTAGTGTTTGTTTTTAAACAGAGCGTGACACTGACACACGTAGGACAGCTGTTTTGTCTATGATAGCGAACCGCTTACGTCAGCGTAGCTGTCAAACTTCATTGATTGGGTTGGTAGCCTTGAGGGAAGAGTCGATTTTTCTATTCGACTAAAATATTCGCCTTGAGACTTATAAAAAAAAAAAAAAAAAAAAAAAAGTAATCAGGCAGTGAATCTCTGTGGGGGCGCGTGGATGAATGGATGGAGTTTGACAGTTGTTGAATTTTGAATAGTTTTTCCCAGATCGATTTGAGTCCTCCTTATCGGGTGCTGTTTTTAATCGATTTTGAATTTTACTCGAAATTGAATTTCCTCGCTGATTTGGGTAGGTATTCCCTTTTCCTCAGCTTACGGCGAGCGTAGGTTTATAGTTTTGAGTTTATTCTTCGGTTCGTCTCGAATGCGGCGGCTGTGTGTTTGACTGTGGCCTTTGCCTTCAGTTGGAGTGGGAAACAAATCATAGACACATGTTTGGGAGTGGACGACCCGTCTATCATCTATGAGCAATTGTCAAAACAACATTTAAAATTTCACAATCTGTTTGTGGTACAGTTAACTTTTCATCTTTTCTTCTGCCCAAAGTATATTAAAAGGCATATTGTAGTCGTCGGAGTCGTGAAATAGATCCGAAAAGTTTATATCCTGAAGGATATTGACTTTTCGGATCTCTCGGAGAACTGAGTTTCGCAGGTGGACGAACACGAACCTTCGCAACGCGTTGCAATAATAAGGCGGTAACTTGTGATAGGAAACAAAATACTTACGGATAGTTTCATATTTCGAACGGCTTGTACGTTCCCCTCAAGAAATACTGGAGGACTAACAAGGAGACTCTTTTTCTGTACACGGACCAGAAGGGACGCGGGAGTTTATTTGCCAGCCGCTCTCCGGTTTTATGTAACCCGGCCGTAACAGCAGACAGATTATACACAGCTAAACCTATCATAATCAAGGTATTTCACTACTAACCCCGGGTGAGCGTGGAGAAGAACCACCAGGCGAGGTTGGACCCCGACTTACCCATTTCCATATATATACATATATCTATATAACTGGTTATCTTACTGAGAACTAGAATTAACTAAGTTTGTCACCAATATCGATCAAACGAGCCGTAGAACCTCTGAAATCCACTAAATAGCTTATTCAGTCTAGTCTATGTGGTATTTGTGGATAAAATATATTAGATATAGCTGAGAATTCATGTAAGTACATGGTAAAGTGTTATGAATGTCTGATATTCATATAATTATAACCTTTACACTGTTGACAACTTGTTGGTTTATATACACATTAACTTTGAACTACTGTATTCAGCTTAGATATTTATAATTAGTGAAACATAGTTATTATATAAATAATAAACATAGTTAGGCTTGTTGATTTATATAAGCAATAACTTAAAACTACTGAATTCCTATGCTTTGGTATCTAAAGTGGATAAAATATACTTATAACATTATCTTAATTTTTTTGGTTTTCTTTCATTGTTCCCCCGGTGCTCTGAGTGAGCTTAGAAGAGGGCCGTGGAGGAGAATTAAACATCACAATATATATATATATGTGTATTTATATACTGCGCGTACGTAAGTGAACAATGGCGCTTTTTTTGTGTATTCTTATATTCTGTTGGTAGCAGATGACCTTTGCATCGTCACGGGGTTTGGGGATGGCGAGGTCCAAAGGGGACCTTAAGCCGAGAATTGGCGAGTGCCTCTAGAGGCATTCCAGGCGGATGGCATCTCCCCACGGGAGGAGTCTCCTCTCCGTTTGGAGCCTCTAGACCAGCAACACTGGCGCCTGTCACGTGTGCAAATTAATGTTTCTAGTGGTGTCGACAGCAGTGTTACCAACCCTTACCAAAATTTTCCCCTATGTATTTTTTTAAATTCCACTAAAATCCCCTAAATATATAATTTTATATGTACCTACGTATTACCCAATTTCTTTTGTTGCTCATAAATTAAAACGTTACATATTTAGTTATAGTAAATTATTTTACTGAATAAATACAGTTTCCAAAAGGACAATCAAACGAAAATGAGCTGACAGGCTGTCAAATCTTATTAAGCTATTTTTTAACCTTAGTCAACACAGCCTTAGGAAACGACCCGCCACTCAGTCAGTTCAGTCGTTTCATATCGTGGTGCGTTTCATTCTACGCACAAAACTGAAAGAAAACACACGTTTTGTTTTTCGATTTAATTGAAAGTATTGATAAAAGGCCCCAAAAAATTCCAGCCCCTAAAAAAGTTCGTTTTAACACTTCTAGCCCCTAATCTGGGGGCAAAACCCCTAAGTTGGGAACCGCGACAGGCCGCCAGTGCTCACTGCACAAACGCCTCTGTGCTTTACTTATTCATATGTTTTGATTTGAGAGCGCCGGCGCACGTGGCCGGTGCGTTTCCTAGGCGGGACGCGCTGTCTCCCGCTCGTTCTATCAACACGTTAATTCAAAACCGGTCTTTATTACATGGTACTAAGGTTAGTTATTAAGTGGAGGTGTGTCGAGGCCGTCAAACGGGTGGCTATCTCCTTTTAGCCGTGGATATCTGAAGCAGTCCTGAATAAGTCGACTTACGCATTGCCGCACCGGCGTGGCTGGCGTACGGACGTATACGCGTTTGTGATCACGCATTATTTAAAAGTTACACTTAGGTGTTAGCTTAGGGGTTAACTTAAATTAATAGTGTTCTGTTATAAATTTGTTTTTTTTGCGTTTTATAGTAATGATTAAATAGGCGTGCCATTTTCGCGGGAATCTGGGAATGGATGTAAAATAGGCAGTGGTGTTTTAGTATTTTTTGGTGCTTTCAATTTTTTTTTTATTTTCTTATATTTGTATGACTATATTCTTTAGCTATAGATTAGAATTTCGAAAATTTACATCATCGCGCGTTGCCATTATTCAAATTCATCATCATAAAATTTGCATTGAATGTAAACAAACTTCGATTTGCTGTAAGAATAAAACTCCTTCACATTTTTTTCTATAAAAATTCAATTTTAACTTTGCTATTTATTCGAAAAAAAAGATACAAAAAAATTGACGTGAGTTTAAAAACTTGTTATTTTCACCAAAAAAAAAAGGAAACATACTTTGTGTTTTTCCGTAGTGTACTCGCCTTTAAAAATAGACAAGGAAATTTTAAAAGTTGACCTTAGGATTTTCGTAAAAAAAGTACTTAATCTTCAGTTCCATCTTTGTAAGAAAAACAGTTGTGCTTTACGTAAATAAAAAAAAAACAATCATAATTTTTGGCGCTTTAATCATAATAAACATAAAGGGAGTTATAAAAAGTTGGTTACTAGGGTTGTAGGCTATTATAGGTTGAGGATTAGTTTTTCTGCCCTTTATTCTTAACATAAAAAGTCAGTTACAGAAAACTTTATTCTTAACATAAACTGAGTTATAGAAAGCTTTATTCTTAACATAAACTGAGTTATAGAAAGTTTTATTCTTAACATAAACTAAGTTATAGTTAACAGCGTTGTTGATCAGTGTAGTAGATTTTCTTAGGTCAGTGTGTTAGGTTAGAGTTTAGTCGGAGTAATGTCTGAGGGTGCTGAGTGGTGGTGCGCCGGTTGGCGTTGGCAGGCACGTCTGGCAGCGCTGCTGGCACTGCCAGTACTACTCACGGGGTTGTATGGCACCAACTACGTGTTCCTCGCAGCGCATACGCCATACAGGTAAGGGTTTTATGTAAAAAAATATGGGTTCACCTTGTTTCGCAGAACTTTTATACTTATCAAAAAACTAAGCAACATGCGTCTTTTATGCAATTTTTTTATCAGTTGATAGTTTATATTTTCGCTATGAAATGTTTAATTAATTATAAATATTCTTTTTTGCTTATAATATATCAACTAATAATATTATCAACAAATAAAAATAAGTATTATTTAAAATATTCAAAAACGGTCAAAAGTTCCAACAAATTTATGTTTAAATCTAAGGAAAGTTTACTAGAAAAAAATACTGTTAATACTGTTGTCAAATTTAAGGTAAGATTTAGAAAATCGTGCCAGAATCGACACCATTATAATATTTTTTTAAGCATTTAGCTGTTGGATGTTTAAAAGGTTTTTTTTCTGATGAAAGATAGAAGATGAAACCTGGACAGAGTTTAATATTAAAGAAGTAATAAATACACAAGACGACTATCTAAAATTTCATAGTTTTTATTGATTTGAAAAATAGGAAGTTACAATTTCGACTCAAATTATTAAACTAAACCAATTATCATTTTTTCCTAAGCCTGAGTAGATCCTAACTTCATTGTATGGTAAAATATAATAATGTAATTTTAATGACATCTTGGTTTTTCCGAACAGCTTACAAAACTTGTTATATCCAAGTCTTACTGCATATAAAGAAAAGAAATTATGCTTTAACTTATAATAATATTATTGAGGAAACATTAAAAAATGTTTAGACATCATTAGGCAAAAATAAGTTAAAAAAACTTTTCATTCATTTCATCGTCATCATCATCATCATCATCAGCCTATTAATGTCCCCACTGCTGGGGCACAGGCCTTCCCTATGGATGGACTAGGGAGATTGGGCCATGACCCACCACGCTGGCCAAGTGCGGATTGGTGGGTGCTAACGACTGCAGATGCAGCCGGGACCAACGGCTTAACGTGCCTTCCGAAGCACGGAGGAACTCGAGATTGTAAATTTTTGGTCACCCATCCAATGACCGACCACTGCGAAAGTTGCTTAACTTCAACGATCGCAGCTGATCGCGCTAACCACTTGCGCCATCGAGCTCCTCAATTTTCGTGCTTTCATTCATAGAGCTTTCGTTCTTGATCGTAATCTAGCTAGACATAATTTTATGCAATAATAAAAGTCACTCCCAATTTATTTATTTTTAAGACCAATTTTTGGTCTTAATGGAATCTCGTACATGTTATTATATATATGGGAGGTTAAAATACAAATTGTTAATGGCACATTTAAATTAAAGGCATAATAGAAGTGAAAAAACATAATTGGGTAAATTAAAAAAGTTTCAAAGTGATTTTCAATCGAATACATTTAGTAACGCACGCTATGATATACCACAGAAGGTCAATGACTTTGATAACGTCGATCGCTTTAACTTATTATCATCATTATCAGCCTATTAATGTCCCTACTGCTGGGCATAGGCCTTCCCTATGGATGGAATAGGGAGATTGGGCCATAAACCACCACGCGGGCCCAGTGCACACATTCTCGCTCCGACCGCGGACCGTGCGCCACGTCGCACCGCCGCCTCCCTGCTCCGTGCGCCCCGCCGCACAGCTGCCTGCTCCGAGTCGACTCGACGCGCCTGCGCTCATACGTGAGATCCAAGATTGGACCAGTGGATACCTAGCGGTGTTAACGAAACTGGTCGGCGTAGCCCCGGTACGTCTCGAGCTCTCCTGAGCTCGGAAACCGGAAGACCCGATCCCATTTGCACTTGGGCCTTCCCAAGGGTGACGGTGGTTCCCATATTCGCTAGGAATATCGGAACACATCTCTTACAGCTTCAACCGACCCCCTGCCGCGGGCAGGGGAGTCCATCGGTGTCGCATAGGGTGTTAGGACCTGTGGCTTCACGCTACAGTCAGGGCACACCTACACACACATCACACAACAAACTACACAGACCTACACACAAACACATCACAAAATGGACATTACACAACAAGTACTGTCCCTCTTCTCCGCCCTCGGCCTCACCCTGGATGAGGCCGCCATCAGGGAGCTCGTCGCGAGAGCGCGCCCTATGCGCGACTCGCCCGCCAGCCCCTCCCCCGAACCCCCCCGCCCCGACACCCCCTGCCTCCCCGGGCCCTCGAGCGCGGGCAAGCGCCCCGCCTCGAGCCCGGTCTCGACCTGCGACTCCGACTCAACCATTGTGTCGGCGTCCGATGACTCCGTGTTCACCACTGTGGTGAGCAAGAAGAAGCGGCGCTCCAAGCGCCGCGCAGACACCGCGTCTCCAACGGCGCCCTCTGCCCCTCTCAGCCCTCTCACCCCTCTCACGGTCGCCCAACCGACCGCACAACCCCACACTACACACACCACAAAACAACACACTAGGTGCACCGCCGCACCTATCAAGGCAAAGCCGCCGCCGCCCGTCTTCCTGCGCGATAAGGCGCAATGGGCAAAGGTCGCGGACCTTTGCAAAACACACAGCATTCACTACACACAGGCGTCGAACACTGGTCACGCCATCAAAATCACCACACCCACAATCGACACATTTAGGAGCCTCACAAGGCTACTAACCACTCACACAATCCCTTACCACACATACGCCCTCCCCGAGGAGCGCAAAGTCCGCGCGGTACTCAGAGGAGTCCCCTTCGAGCTCTCCAACGAGCTCATTCTTAACGACTTAACCGATAAAGGCTTCCCAGCCGAGGCAGTGCACAAGTTGCACAGCCGGACTGGGAAGCAATACCCGTTGGCTCTTGTCATTTTGACCTCGGTCCCGGCAGCTAGGGACATTTTCAAAGGTCCCATCACAGTCTGTGGCCTCGACAATATCAAAGTCGAGGCCCCACACCGGCGAGGCACCCCTGGGCAATGCCACAGGTGCCAATTATATGGCCACGCAGCAGCCAACTGCTCGGCGGCCCCGAGGTGCGTCAAGTGCCTCGTACCCCACCTCACTAAGGAGTGCACCCGCACTCGTGACGCACCCGGGGCACCCGCATGCGTGCTGTGTGGCCAAGAAGGCCACCCGGCCAATTACAGGGGTTGCCCGCGGGCCCCACGCCCCAGGCCCAACACTCACACTCACATAAAGCCAACCACGGCTACAAAAACACACCCACCACCACCACCTAACACCACCACAAACTTCCCGGGGCTACCCAAGGCGGCCGCCCCTCGCAGCCCGGCGCCCCCGACAGCCTGGGGACCAGCCAGGGCCCGCCCAAAACCACACCCACCACAACACACCACACCAACAACACAAGCTAAGCCAGCCCAAGACGTTTCTCTGGCCGAGGACATGGCGCTTATTCGCTCCTCGCTCAAGAGGGTGAATATCGCCGAGATCCACACTCTCGCCGCGAAGCTCCGGCTAGCTAAAACACCACTTGAAAAGGCTATAGCTATAGCCGAACACCCCGAACTCGTTGCCGCGTTCGATTAATTTTTTTCATTATAACACTGGAAATAACCAGACTCCGAACACAAACAAAAACACTATACACAAAACACGCGGTGATAACTCAAACAAACACCACTGTTGTTTAAATTATGACCGCGCAAAACACTAACATAACAATCACACAACTGAACCCCGGGCGTACCAAGCCGAAAGGCGCTTCGCTTGTGTCATTTAATACGCGCAGCTTAAAATCCAACCTCAACGAAATTAAATTATTTTTGCAAGATAGGGAACCCGACTTTCTGCTCCTTCAGGAGACTTGGCTCAAACCAACTCAAATGAAGGGGCTGTCGATCCCTAAGTATAAATTAATCCGGAACGACGGTGCCAACGCGCGCGGCGGCACCGCAATTTACTATAGACGCAACCTACACTGCACACCTATACCCACTCCCGCGCTCACAAACATGGAAGCCACCATCTGTAGGCTGGCGATGACAGGACACCAGTCCTTAATCATCGCCTCAGTCTACATTAGATCAGGTACACACCCTCACCGCGCAGACTTCGAAACACTCACTTCATTAGGTACATCAGTCATAATGTTCGGTGACTTTAACTCCAAACACACCGACTGGACATGCGAGACCACCACCACCTCTGGCCGCAGATTACTACACATAACCGAGGAGCTTGGCTATGATGTCATATGTCCCTACGCGCCCACCCACTACCCAGACAATGTACAAAACCGACCCGACGTCCTGGACTTCGCGATCCTTAAAAACGTGTCGCTTCGCCTCAGCTCGATCGAAACGCTCGACGACCTGGGGTCAGATCACAGACCGGTGTCTCTAGTTCTAGGTCCCCAAGACCCACTAGACGCCCCCGCGCCCCCTAAGAGGCTATTCACCAACTGGGACGGATACCGCTCCGCTCTCGAGACCGCCTTAGACTCCCCCGAGTCCCCGTTCCCTAACTCACCGGACAGTCTCGACAGCACCGACAAGATTGACGAAACTATAGAGTCTTTAACTTTACTGGTGACCGAGAAGGCGAAGGAGAACTCGCGGGAGGTTGAGCTGCCAAAGCCCAAGCTCCCGCTGGCCATCCGGAACCTAATCCAAACCAAAAACGCCGCTCTCCGGAGAGCCAAATTATACCCCACCCCCGAGTATAGGGCTACAGCTAATCGCCTTCAGCGACAAGTTAGGTCCCAATTAGCCGCTCTGAGACACTCCCGTTGGGAGGAACTCATGGCGGACATTACCCCATCCCATCTTGCGTACTATAGAATCGCGAAAGCGCTCCGTAGCGACGTCACCACTCACACCCCCCCGCTCACTCGCCCCGACGGCACCGTCGCCTTCGAAGACGACGAAAAATCTGAGTGTTTTGCAGACAGCATAGCGGCGCAATGCACGCCTAGTACGCAGGAAACTAACCCGCAACATATTCGCGGAGTGGAGGAGGAGGTCCGCCGGCGGGCCGCCCTTCCACTCATTGACAACCCCCTAGACCCCGTCACGACAGACGAACTCAGACAGACCATTAGAAATTTTAAGCAACGCAAGGCCCCGGGCG